GTTTTCCTTGAGAAATTTCACAACCACCTTACCGTCATTAGTTTTGCAATCCACCGCTTGAGCCCATTTTGACATGTATTCGACAGCCGCTAGAATGTACAAATTTTCAAAAGGATTTGAAAATTGATCCATAAAATCTATACCTCACACATTAAAAGCTCCATAGTGAGAATTTATTATAAGGACATTATATTTCTTCTATTGATTCTACCTAAAAGCTGATAATAGTTACAAGCTTTATAAAACTTATAGGCATCTTTAAATAGGCTAGGCCTGTACAGCCTACATTGAAGAATTGTCTTCGCAATTTTTCTTGGATCAAAGTGGTCCCCACAAGCTTGCTCATTGTAAAAAGAAATAACATTCCTAGTTTCTTTATTTGGAGCACACCTCTAAAAATTTGATTAGAATAATACTTGAATATGTAGGGATCATCCCAATAAAAATATTTTACATGGGGGAAAAATGAGATCTATACTATTTAGACCAATGGGAAGGGAGCTCTTTTGTAATAGTTTACAATATCTGTGAACTATGGCATGGGCCAGACTTGTATGAGTTGCTTATCAGGAAAATGATCATTTATCAAAATGTTGGGTGTTGGTGCGTTAGGGAGGATTGACAAATAATGTACTACAGGGTTATCTGCTCCTCTTCTATCAAGAATTTATAAATCAAACTCTTAGAGAAAGAGTATCCATCTAATGAGCCGTATTTTAGCATCTTTTTTTTCAAAAAATACTTCAGTGCAATATAATCAGCATAAACCTTGATAAGGGACCAATATCTGAATTTCTCTAAGGCAAAAAATAACACTTAAAAAGTCCTTCTTAGTGACAGAGTAATTTTATTGTGTATCGTTTAGTATCCCACTTGCATACTAGGGTACATGAGGTTTTTTATCTATCCATTGTCTTAAGACAACATCAATTACAGAATTGGATGCATCACACATTAACTCAAAGGGTAGGGTCTAATCAGGGGAATGAATGATAGAAGTTGTGGTTAACTCCTTCTTTAGGTGATCAAATGCCTCAAGACGTTTAGGAAAGAATTCAAGGGGCATATTTTTGGTTAAAAGATTGGTCAAAGACCTAGCAATTTTACTAAATTATATAATGAACGGTTTGTAAAAAACCTGATCTGACATTTTTAATATTTTTAAGGGTGGGGGGGATAGAAATAAGATCTACCTTAAATTTGTTGACTTTTATTCCCTTGTTAGAAACTACTTGTCCTAAGATAATTTCTTGTTTAACTATGAGGTGACATTCCTCCAATTTAGAGTCATATTTTTCTCCCTACATAGTGCTAGGATAAGTTTGAGATGATGCAAATGCTCAAAAAATGCATCAATGAAGAGGCATCCATGAAAATTTTAAAGAGCGCCCAACCATGTCGGATGATCACAGACCATTAGAATGTGGTTGGAGCGTTGCACAACCCAAAGGGCATATTCCATATGGGCTTGTGAAAGTGGCTCTCTCTTGATCTTTAAGAGCAGCGGGAATCTAATTGAAACATGAATATCCATCCAAGAGATAATAAACTCATGTTTTGCTAAACGTACAAACATTTGGTCTATGAAAGGAAGAGTGAAGTGATCTTTCCATGTGACTGAGTTGAATTCTCTGTAATCAATGCAGACTTGCCATTCAGTTTGGATCTAAGTAGGAACTAACTCATTGACCTCATTTTGGATCACTATGATCCCGGACTTTTTAGGAACAACCAAGACTGAACTCACCCAAGAACTATAAAAAAGGGATAAATAATCCCATCATTAATATATTTGAGAATATCTTTCCTAATAGCTTCTTTCATCACTGGGTTTAACTTGCGTTGAGGACCCCTAGTAGATTTGACATCATCTATCAAATAGATTCTATATTGAACAATCATTGGACTAATCCAATGGCTTCCCTATATTCTCTTAAGACATTTAAGAGGACTTCTTTTTGACCAGTTATCAAATTAAAAGCAACAATGACTGATACGATCTTATTCTTCCTTAAGTAGGTATACTCTAATCTTTTAGGTAAAGATTTAAACTTAAACTTATGGGTTCCTCTAAAGGTAGGCGAAGTTGAACTCAAGGTTCTATATCTAAGGATTCAGGTTGATGTCCCAGTGTGGATACATGATCTATCTGCTGATCTAACTCTTCTAATAGCATGATTTCTTCATCAGAGATCTCCTCAAAACTCAAGTCAAATAAATTAGGATTTGACTCATCCTTTTCCTCCAACTATTCGCTAGATATTTTAGGAATAAAGTTCACTTCTAGGGCTTGATCTAATTGATCACTAAGCTATTTCTCTAGATTGAATATGTTGAGATTAATAGTTATGTTCTCAAAAAACAGTTGTATTTGATCGATTCTATAGTTGATCAAAGCATTTAAAGTGGATAAGAACGGTTTTCTTGAAGTTACCGAGATCTGACCTTGAGATTGGAAACTCGGTTGCATTTCAAGACTTAATCACAATATCCTCTATCTCTCACTTAGGTATCTTTATAGATTTATCAGCTAATTGGAAGATGCATCTGATTGGTTTTAGTTCTCACCAGTAGAGATCTAAGCATCCTAGATGGGTTTTTCTCCATCTAAGATGCTAAAATTTTAGATGAAAAAGTTGGTCTAGAATGTTCTGATCATCACATTTTATTATACTTTTATACGCTCATTGTCTATTTTATATAAATAAATATATTACTAATAATGTGCTTTTCTTTTAATCTATAGGAAATGAAGAATTAATGAATAAGAGCTCAAAAAGAACTCAAATTTTATTATTTTTTAACCTTTTATTGAAGCCCAGTATCAAGCTAAACATCATATAGAAGCCCAAGAAATAAGGATCCAATATGAAAAGAAATCAAATCAAATTCATATTCAAGATGAACAAAAAACATCATTATCTCCCAATCCAGAAGGTGGAATCTAACATATGATATACTCCCTCCAATCCAAAATGAATGTCTTTTTAGCCTTTTTATCAAAATCCATTTTAGTTGTCGCTTTACAATATCCAAGGCTTAATTTGCTACTTATTCCATTTCTATCCCTCTGTTGCATAGAACTCAGAAAAGCAATTTATTACTGTAGCTTCTTCCCAAGCGTCACTTCTCCTGGATGTTTCAATATATGGCATGGATAATGTGGTGTGCTCCATTTATTTAGTTTTTTGGCTCCAAATAAAAAATTTGAATTTTCAGAATTGCTTAAATTTGGTTTGATTTAAAAAATTTTAAAAATTCAAATTCTGAAACGTGAGGAAGCTGAAAGGCTCCAAATAAATTTTAGGCTCCAAATTTATTTAGATTTTAGGCTCCAAACTTATAACTCATGAGTATTGATGTAGTACTCTAGCATGATGAAGCTTAAAAGCTGATGGAGGAACATTAAATTTCGTTTGTTTGTACGAGGAGCTTTAGACTAGGATGAGGGTATATGGGTAATCTTTCTCCTTTTCTTAATTTGTGTGTTTTAACTAAAATCTTTCTCCTTTTCTTAATTTGTGTGTTTTAACTAAAAAGACATTCATTTTGGATTGGAGGGAGTATAAAAATTGCCTATCTCGACAAAACAGAGCAATCCGGAATTTTAGAATTTTAAAATTCTAATTAGTCCACCAACCAATTGACCAATCGGTTGGTAAATACTTGATGTGTTGTGGACAATAATATCGAGATTACAAGTGCACAATAAAGTTGTAATACAGTTACAATGTCAATCCTATGAGGAAGATGTGTAGGAAAATTCTAATATGGATCCTAGAGTAGTGTGTGGACAAGTGGGAGTGAAAGAGAACAGAGATAAAGAGAGTGGGTGATTATTTACGAATAAAAGAAAACTAAAACAAGAAGGGAGAAAGAGAGTGGATAAATAAAAGGAAATAAAAAATAACAAGGAGGAAAAATAAAGGAAACTAGAAAAAATAAAATCAAGACTAGAAAAACTAACCACAAAGAGGAAAAACCAAATAAGTAAAATATGGAGGAATAAAAAAGAAAGAAAGGAATCTAGAATTGAATCCACTAATTGATTTGATTTAGGATTTATGAACTACTCTCTTTTTTTAATTACATTTTTCTTTAGATTTATTAAATAATATTATCAAACCACTTAAGGAAACCATAACCTATCAAATTATCATCCAAGTAAAACTATCATTCATGAAAAGAATAACAATTAGACAATAATTATAGGATCATAAGCATAACCTATCAAACCATCTAAGATAAGCATAGAAAAGTAAGAACTTGCATTGTAAGGGGGTGACCCCTTGAAAGCAAATCTTCATCTTCATCTCCATCTCCATCAACAAAGAAAAAGAAAAGAAAATTTAAAAGATGAAGAAGAATTATTTTTATTAATTTCAAACAATACATATATTTTTGAAAGGTATTCTCAATTAAGAGTAACCCTCCTCTCTAAATAGAGATTATTATAATTTTTTTCCACACTCAAAACCTCTCACCCTCTATCTCTATTTATAGCTTACAACAAGTAACAAGAGTTATTGGGTTTTTTGGCTTGGGCTCCAAGGATTAAATCTAAGCCATAAAACAATTTAGTTACGAATCAATCGGTTAACCAATCGGTTGGCCAATCGGTTGGTGGACCGATTAGAATTTTAAAATTTTGAAAATCCAGATAGCTCAGTCTTGCCGAGATAGGCGATTTTCATATATTATATATTAAATTTCACCTTCCGGAGTGAGAGATAATGCTATTTATTTGCGGCTGATCATCATGGATATGAACTTAATTTGATTTCTTTTCATATTAGATCCTTATTTCTTAGGCTTCTATAGGCTGCTTGGCTTGATCCTTAGAGTTCTTTTCGAGCTCTTGTTCATTAATTCTTCATTTCCTGCAGATTAAAAGAATACATTATTAGTGATATATTTATTTAAATAAAATAAATAATAAATGTATAAAGTTATAATAAAATGTAATGATCATGTTCGGTTTAGGATGCCAAGCATTTTTCATCTTAAAATAGTATCCTAATCAAATATTTATTATCTAATTATTTATTATTTGTGGATGTTCCGTCTAGGATCCTTTCCAAGTGTTTGTTGGCACAGCCCCTCATCGACGCCCTCTGTTGGTGAAGCCATCACTCCGCCGGCGAATCGTTAACAAGAAATTTTTTTTGATCTAATTCAGATGCTTCACCCAAAAATTTTGACCCCAACTCGGGGTCACCTCTGCCCCAAAATCCCTTATCGGATCCCCGAAAAACTTTCGTCATTTTGCCTCTGTGTTGTTGTTGCTGTTTTGATAGTGCGCACCAAGTGTTTGTAGAAATGGATGAGGTGTACGGTGTCATCGTTTTTCCAGCACTGGGCTCGAGGAATTCATCCTCAGCAGCCTCCTCTCCGTCAATGACATGAAGGTAATTTAACCCTTTGCATGGTACTATGTATCTTTAATAATGGTTTGCAGAGCTCTAGCCCTGGAAATTGTTGTCTATTTTGTAAAAGAAGAAGGAAGAAGAAAAAAAAATCTTATTTTAGTTTGATTTTGATTTATCCAAATATGAAATTAGTAGGGCTTATATAGTACATGTACAGGGTTACAGAGATTCTTGGATTATAGCATCCTAGAGCCCCTTCATCAACATGGACGTGATCAATAATGATTATTATTGAGGTGGGTCGATATTGCTCAATTTCACCTTGGTGTGCTTGGCTAAACCAGTTGCTAAACTTCTCCTCCTCCTCCTCCTCCTCCTCCCCCTTTTTATAGGTATCTAATTGTTTGTTTTGCTTGCATGGCAGCTCTGGAAGCGATTCCGGGGCAATGGCAAGCCTCCAGAGTATCTGGCTTCCAAAAAGGAATACAATGTCGACATGGTTCCTAAGGTATATATCTCTGTCTATGTAGATACAACAACAGTGTTTGATCCTTGACTGTACATGTTGAAGCAATGTGATATATTGTGGGTAACTCGGAGAAGACAATTACCTACTGCATTTAAGTTGTCTGCAGATAACTCCTCCATCTAAAAGGACTGGATACAACATTTTGCACCAATTTTTTTCCCTGTATATGATAAGAGTAGATTACACAAGGAATTTAAGACAATTATACAAAGTAGTTATCATAGGGTACTATTTGTGCACATCTTTGCTGACAAAGGCTTAATCGGCTAAGATGTAAAAAATTAGCTCCAATGCGATATGAGATAAGTCTACTCTCTTATGGGTGATCTTTCTTTTAACATTGGTAACTCCACTTAGTTTCAGAACTATAGAGTTGGGTTATGTATATAGATTCTATCACCTATAGTGTCCTTATTCATATAATTTCTTAAAGTCAACCATAAGATCTTGCTTACATGTTTTCCTATGTATTAACACAGTTATGATGTCTTTCTTTATAGCACTTAACCATGAAAAGTTCAACTCTAATATTCCATCTTGGGTTATATTAGTTTCTGTACCCTGTAGTCTTGTTATGATTCTATGTTTTCTGCTATTATAAAATTTGGGACTGATGCATAATCTCTAGATAAAAACCTGAAACACAATTCCATGTATCATAAAAACTAGCGAATACATAATTATTTGATCCCTGTAAATTTATTACCTCTTTTTTTTGGTATTATATGTAGCTGAAAGGCGTGCTCATGGTTGGGCTGGTCAAAGAGCAGATGAAAAACACTCCTAAAGGCGTGAAAGTTAATGTGACTCACTTAAAAAGTGTATGGAAAAAAATATTGAGTTTCCAGACACATCACTGCCTACAAGAGAGCTCATGTAAGGAAACTTAAATCATTTGATCAAGGTTTCATGTGTCTGACTTAGATTATTTTTTGGCTTTGAAGTACTCATTTTACATCACGGTCAGGTTATATGGTGACAGGCTTGAGGAATTAAGATTTTCGTCAGATTTAATTCTAGATTTTGCATGATACATGATGGTAATTGTGTTCGATTAGGTTGGTTCTGATGGTGTTTTGAAGAATGAGCTCAAACGCATATTCTTGGCTCTGATAATTGTGTTGCATGCAGGGTCTCAAGAAATCTGAATTTTGGAGAGTCTAGGGTTGATCTGAGGTCCCTGAATTTGAGTCAATCTCTTGCATGAAGACTCTTTCTTCTACCAATAAATTTGGGATGTTGGGAGATGGCCTCGAACCAGTTGACCGTTATGAAGGTGCTCAGTGAGTAACAAGGATGGAAGGATAAAGATCATTGCGTTTTATATGTATAATGTGGTATTAGGACCTGTATATTGTATTTATTAGTTGTAATGTTATTCCTATATATTATACAATTATTTTGGTTGTCAGTATGAATATTTTTGTATTTGTGTCATATTTTCTTAAACAATATATATGACGTGCAATGTTGGGCGCAGAGACACGCCCCGCGCCGCGGAAGCGTTATCACCTGAGAGATAGCCCTGACTTTAGTTATCACAAAAGCACAACTTAACCTCTATATTCTTGTTTTTCAAAGAAAACTAGAATAGATAGTGAAATTCTTATTTCTCAAAGGAAATAAGAATCGAAAGTGATATATTTCATCAAAGTGAAATATACACTCTTCCTCTCATCAGTTCTAAAACTGAAATGTCGAGGGAACCTACAAGTTATGGCAACACACAGTAAAAGACGAAGCAACAGATTTACGTTGTTCGGCTAACTAGCCTACGTCCACGGGAGGGGGGTTTTCACTGTGAGTAGAATACCAAACTTATTACAAGCGCTCTCTCTCTTTCTCTCTCTTTCTCTCTCTCTCTCTCTCTCTCTCTCTCTCCTTTCTTTTATTCTCAAGTTACACTCCACTCAAGAATTACCCACTTAGTATTTTTCCCCACCACACACAACTCTCTTAAACTCCTTTCCTATTTATAGGAAATGAAGAGCTGCTGGAACCAGCTCAAAAAAGAGCACGAAAATCTATAGGGGGGAGGCTGTGAGCATGGGCAACTGTATATGATAAGAGTAGATTACACAAGGAATTTAAGACAATTATACAAAGTAGTTATCATAGGGTACTATTTGTGCACATCTTTGCTGACAAAGGCTTAATCGGCTAAGATGTAAAAAATTAGCTCCAATGCGATATGAGATAAGTCTACTCTCTTATGGGTGATCTTTCTTTTAACATTGGTAACTCCACTTAGTTTCAGAACTATAGAGTTGGGTTATGTATATAGATTCTATCACCTATAGTGTCCTTATTCATATAATTTCTTAAAGTCAACCATAAGATCTTGCTTACATGTTTTCCTATGTATTAACACAGTTATGATGTCTTTCTTTATAGCACTTAACCATGAAAAGTTCAACTCTAATATTCCATCTTGGGTTATATTAGTTTCTGTACCCTGTAGTCTTGTTATGATTCTATGTTTTCTGCTATTATAAAATTTGGGACTGATGCATAATCTCTAGATAAAAACCTGAAACACAATTCCATGTATCATAAAAACTAGCGAATACATAATTATTTGATCCCTGTAAATTTATTACCTCTTTTTTTTGGTATTATATGTAGCTGAAAGGCGTGCTCATGGTTGGGCTGGTCAAAGAGCAGATGAAAAACACTCCTAAAGGCGTGAAAGTTAATGTGACTCACTTAAAAAGTGTATGGAAAAAAATATTGAGTTTCCAGACACATCACTGCCTACAAGAGAGCTCATGTAAGGAAACTTAAATCATTTGATCAAGGTTTCATGTGTCTGACTTAGATTATTTTTTGGCTTTGAAGTACTCATTTTACATCACGGTCAGGTTATATGGTGACAGGCTTGAGGAATTAAGATTTTCGTCAGATTTAATTCTAGATTTTGCATGATACATGATGGTAATTGTGTTCGATTAGGTTGGTTCTGATGGTGTTTTGAAGAATGAGCTCAAACGCATATTCTTGGCTCTGATAATTGTGTTGCATGCAGGGTCTCAAGAAATCTGAATTTTGGAGAGTCTAGGGTTGATCTGAGGTCCCTGAATTTGAGTCAATCTCTTGCATGAAGACTCTTTCTTCTACCAATAAATTTGGGATGTTGGGAGATGGCCTCGAACCAGTTGACCGTTATGAAGGTGCTCAGTGAGTAACAAGGATGGAAGGATAAAGATCATTGCGTTTTATATGTATAATGTGGTATTAGGACCTGTATATTGTATTTATTAGTTGTAATGTTATTCCTATATATTATACAATTATTTTGGTTGTCAGTATGAATATTTTTGTATTTGTGTCATATTTTCTTAAACAATATATATGACGTGCAATGTTGGGCGCAGAGACACGCCCCGCGCCGCGGAAGCGTTATCACCTGAGAGATAGCCCTGACTTTAGTTATCACAAAAGCACAACTTAACCTCTATATTCTTGTTTTTCAAAGAAAACTAGAATAGATAGTGAAATTCTTATTTCTCAAAGGAAATAAGAATCGAAAGTGATATATTTCATCAAAGTGAAATATACACTCTTCCTCTCATCAGTTCTAAAACTGAAATGTCGAGGGAACCTACAAGTTATGGCAACACACAGTAAAAGACGAAGCAACAGATTTACGTTGTTCGGCTAACTAGCCTACGTCCACGGGAGGGGGGTTTTCACTGTGAGTAGAATACCAAACTTATTACAAGCGCTCTCTCTCTTTCTCTCTCTTTCTCTCTCTCTCTCTCTCTCTCTCTCTCTCCTTTCTTTTATTCTCAAGTTACACTCCACTCAAGAATTACCCACTTAGTATTTTTCCCCACCACACACAACTCTCTTAAACTCCTTTCCTATTTATAGGAAATGAAGAGCTGCTGGAACCAGCTCAAAAAAGAGCACGAAAATCTATAGGGGGGAGGCTGAGAGCATGGGCAACATGGTGCATAGTACTTGTCCCCCCCTCCCCCACCCCACCCCACCCCTACCATGCTTGTTTCCACTCACAAGCTGTGAGCATGGGCTGAACGTGGGAGCATCCCCCAGGGCCGTCTCAAGCATTTTTAAAGGCAGACTATAGAGTATTGGGAGCATATTTTAGAATTTTACATTTAAAAAAAATAAGAATTTGGCTATCCTAGATGAAAATTCTGTCTAGGATGTGCAACCTACAAGGAATTTTGTTGAATGCAACATTCTAGATGGAAACATCCTAGACTAACCATTTTTTGTCTAGAATGACCATTCTAGACAGAATTATGGGCATCCTAGATGGATTTTTCTGTCTAGAATGCTCAGATTTCTACTACTGCCTCCTACTTAATTTTCATTACACATTTGCCCATAATAGCACACGGTTGATCATCACCAATGTATACATATCTAAGATTTTCGGAGACATACTTCTCGAAGAATTCTTTCTGAGAAGTAGCATGGAACGATGCTCCAGAGTCTAACACCCAAGACTCTTCCTTGCTCTCCAAAGAGCATATCAATGTGTTGTCTCCTCCTGAGGTGGAAATGACATTCACCTCTGCCTTCGCCTCCTTCTCCTTCTGTGCACTATTGCACTGATTCTTGTAGTGCTCGGTATTTCCATAATTCCAACACTCGATAGTCTTCGAGTTGTTGCTTGGATTTCTTGACTTGGACCTCCTATCTTTTGATCTACCTCTGAAGTTTGATTTGCCTCGTCCGTTCCCTCTGGTTGAATTTCTACCTCTTGACTCTGTATGCAATACTGAAGAGGTTGTAGCTTCACCCGACTCTCTCTGTCAGATCTCCTCACTGAGAACCAGATCACCAACGTCATCGAACTTTAACTTGTTGCTTCTCGACGAGCTACTCACAGTCATGACTGTAGCGTTCTAGCTTTCTGATAGGGAAGACAAAAGTATCAACGCTCGAACTTTTTCATCAAACTCAATTTCAATTAAACTCAATTGGGTTGTGACTGTGTTGAGTTCATTGAGGTGTTGTGCTACTGATACGCCTTCCGACATTTTCAGATTGAATAACCGTCTCATCAAATAAATTTTATTTGTGGCTGATGGATTCTCATAAATATTTGAGAGTGCTGCCATAAGACTCGTCGTGGTCTTTTCCTTTGCTATGTTGAACGTAATATTGCGAGTTAGTTTTAATCTGATAACTCCGAGAGCTTGTCTGTCTAGAAGGTTCCACTCATCATCATTCATAGACTCCGGTTTCTTCTCTAAAAGGGGTTGATACAGATTTTTCTATAGATAATCCTCTATCTGTATTTTTTCAGAATCCAAAATATGTTCCATCAAACTTCTCTAATCTCATATTTCCTTCATTTGTGATCATTGCTCCCATTTGAATCTGACTTCCTCTAGATCATTTCAGGCTCTGATACCAGTTGTTAGGAAATACCTGGGGCTACGCTAAACCCCTAAAACATCAAGAAAACGCAGTACAGAAAAGTACACCAAGATTTAACGAGGTTCGGTAAACTTGCCTACTTCCTCGAGAACCACACAATCAATTTCTTATTAATTTAAAAAATTACAATGCAAGAGTAGATCTCAAACTTGAGATCTCTAAATAAATACAAATCTTCACTGTAGCTACAATGAAGATTCTCCTCTCTTAAATACCCCTCTTTAATTCCTCTTATTTAAAATTCTCTCTTTAATTTTCTCCTCAAATCTCTGAGCGCTGGAAAGGAAAAGAATCGCGAGAGGGGAGAGAAGGAGCTCCACCGCTGCTGAAAGAACACGAGAAGGAGAGGCTGGCGCTTTTCGAGCTCTGGGTTTCTCTTTTATAGGGAAACCTATGTGCAGCTGGCAACAGGTGGAGACAACTAGCGACGACCTCGCCTGTGGAAAGCTCCTGCTCGACCTCACCTACATCGAGCTCCCCCGCTCACCTGGACCTCGCCTGACGCTCGTCGAGCTCGCTTGCACTTTGTCAACCTTGCCTGCACTTCGTCGACCTCGCCTGCACCAACTCAAGCTCTCCTGCGAGTCGATCTCGCATGGAATTCGTCGAGCTCACCTACATCGTGCTCAACCTTGCCTGCAGCCCACTCAAGCTCACATGACGTCGCCTGCCCTCTCCTGAATCGAGATTTGGTCTACACCCAAACCAACAATAACATTTTTTGGTGCTTGAGAAATACAGAAGGTTGGATATGTATCACGTCTGCATGCTCCATCCTATTCTCTTGTAAGTATCTTTTCACCACAACTAATTCATCCACCACTTGATCTATTTTCTACTTTACTAAATTATACATCTCTCTACATGTAGAGCCTTCTATAGCCAGTTTAATAATTTTTTGGCACAAACTATTAAACATTAGAGTCTTTGTGAAGGAATCTAATAGTGTTGAGCTAAGCTTGAGTGCATATCAATACTGCTCTCCTTTGCTAATTTTGTCCATCTCTTTAAACAATATTGAGAGGGTATTTCAAAGATATCAAGGTGCAATAGCA